TTATCAGTGGAAATAAAAGCGTTTCATGCAGGTTAGAAAGTTAGAACGTGGGTAAATGAAAAATCTCACTCAAAACCTCTGCATGACAATTGGATAATTTACCAAATTACATCAAATTACCATGAAATCAGCCCACGTCTCACTATGAGCGCTCAGCGATAGTTTAAGGAGCACAGCTGTAGCTGGTGAAGGCGGTTCAGCTGGAGTGTAACTGGTTCAGTCAAAACAGGAGGACGGGGGCTTTGAGGCTGGCCTGGTAGTCAAAACAATGTCCTGAAGACTAATAGGGCATGGTCGGATGACATCTCTGCTCTCTCTTTCTTTCTCCAAACACCCACACACACATACACACACACACACACACACATACACAGAGACATACCACTGACTTCCCAGGGGGGTGATTTGTCCGACACTAATATGATTACCTGATGATGTTTACTTTAGATACAATATGATGACATTACCACACTGGCACAATATTATTGTTTTATCAAGGTGAGAACAGCATGTCTTAACTTTAATGTAAAGATAGTAAACACTCTTAACAGCATCTTGTCAACTCCACAAATTCAAACTTTAATATTGTTTTTCTGAAACTTAATCTGAGCTGTTCCTTTACCTATAACTGTGGATTTTCCATGCAATCTCTCTCTCTCTCTCTCTCTCTCTCTCTCTCTCTCTCTCTCTCTCTTTTCCTGTGTTAAGCCGTTCTGTCAAATACAAACATCTAATTTAGTTTCTGGCTGCACTGGGAGAGGAATGACTGGTTGGAAAAAAATAATTCCACTTGGGCACTGGCCCGACAATCATATAAGGCGATTGGTATTCAACCATGAAATGAAAACTGGTAATATCCCTTTAGTTTATCGAGTGAAAATATGTGAATATGCGTCAGTGCCTCAAGTGGCTGATAGAAGCTGTAATTATCCTCATAAATGATCATCGATTGAAAGATTATACACATACATTCAAATGCTGCAATAAATAACACACCAGACATTTAAATAAGCTAACTTACACACTGCATAAGCCACATTCAGCCATTATGTGGCTTGGATACATCAGACATGTACTTCATGTTCACTGCGGTTTGCTAATAAGCATCCTGATGACTTCTGAAAAACACTTGATTTATCTTAGATGGCCTAATCAGATGTAGTTTGCACCAGGCGGCCGCACATGTATTTAATTATTCTAACATTTTAATAATCTGCTATAATGACTCAAGAACAAGCTCAACTTCATTTTCATTGGTCTCAGATGACTTAATTCTGCTACATTATGCACTTTATCATCAGTGCTGAGATGTGCACCCTGAAACAGCCAATAAGTCATTAGCTTCAGTAGATATTGTTTTAAGAAACTGCACCATTAAACAGCCAGCCTCTGCTTTTCTCAGTGTATCTCTTCAAGTTGTACTCTTTGCCTGGCTCAGCTTTTTGTAGTTTTGTTTTAATTTGCTCTGTAAGCAACCCTCTCCCTGAAGACCAAATGACAACAGAATGATAGTTTTGCTAATAGATTTTGTTAGTTATCTGACCCGACTTCTTCTGTTGGTGTTAAATTAGGCTTTAACTGCTTCCATCTGTACTGAAAAAATACAGACAGGTCCATGCATGAAGTCACACACTCACACACAAAGACAGGCTCACATACACTGCCACACACTGATCGTGGGTGAGAATATATTTGAAAATTGCCTGCAGTATATTTAGCCACCTTCGATGCACCTCATTAGCATAGTTTGAAATGAGAAGCAAATAGGCGAAGCTCTCGCTCAGGAGGCACAAAACATTAACTCCAAGTCAACACCAGCATTATCAATAAATGAGGGTAATTTAGTTTTCATCTATGACCTTGAAACGTCTGCCTCATGCACACAAGTGACGTAATGCTTTTTTCCAGTGAAAACAGACTAATATCCAAATGACTGTGAAAACCACAGTCATTAGCGTGCTCCTGCGCGTCCTATTCATGCGTTTAAGCTCTCTTAAGATGCACGGTTCATTTGATATCTATAAAGAAGCAAAGTGTAGTTTCGGCACAGTCGAAAACCAACTGTCCAAACCGGAGGATAAATAGCTAAGTTGATTATCCCACTGAGTCGTTGGCTATTTCTCTTTCTCTCCCTCTCCATCTCTGTTTCCACAACTTCCTGCACACCATTAGTTTAGAAAGTGTTGAAAGCACAGTCGTGATCCAGGGCTCCTTAACTGAGTAATCATATATGAGGTTTTTCTGGGTGTCTAGTCAGAAGCAATGAACTGCCGTCTGGCTGTAAAGACTAGAAAAAATAGAAACAGAGTGAAAAGCTTTTGATAAAAGTCTGTGAGTGTGATGCACTGTACCCCTGTGTGTCATGTGAGTGTGTGCCCGCATCTGTGTATATGTGTCACTTGTGTGGGTGTGAGTGTGTGTGTAGGCAGGGAGGGCGTTTCACAGAGAGCGGTTTCCAGGCTTCTTTAACATCACCATCAAAGTCCAACGTCAATGTGTT